TGTTTCGGGTTTTTTAACGAAAATTGTTAAAGAAAAAAGTTATTTCTGAATTTAAAAATTGACTTTTGTAGTATATAAATGTAATTTAATGAATGAAAATATCATATATTCTCAATAAATCACCAAAACATATTACTACGTTGATCAAAATTAACCTTTTTCAATTTAATGCAAGTTTTCTGTTCGGAAAACATTCTACCACAACTTTCCAGTATTAAATTTGAAATTATTGGATCCTTTATAAAAAGGTCTTAAGAACATAGTGCAGGAGACTCATAATCTTTTCAACTTCATTTTATGGTATTTTTGCTGTCACAGTTAATAATATTTTTCGTGGTGAACCCCGGAGATTTTATACGGTACGTATTATGGTATACCGTTGTCCGTCCGTCGTCAGCATGTCGGACAAAACTCAAAAACGCTGTAACCAATTTACATGAAACTTCGGTGAATTTTTTTTATCTATTGAGGTATCCTCCCTTTCGAATTTTATAAATTTTAGATTTTACGTTTTCGAGTTATAGGATTTTATTAAACAAACTAGAGGCTCTAAAGAGCCTGTGTCGCTCACCTTGGTCTATGTGCTGCAGTGCATATTAAACAATGGACACTCTTCTACATTAAAGACAAGAATATAATTCATGACAAAATTCTCTGTTTTGGTGATGGTGACTTGTTTGTAGATCTTACTTCACTGAACATTCTTGCTGTTTGCAGTTATCTCTATCTATAATGAACTTGTTCCATAAGTATTGGAGGAGAAGATTTCTGTAAAAAAATTTTGCGTAGCACATGATCCGCTATCCTTAACATTAAAATACAGTTATTAAGCTGCTCAGAGTGTGATCTGTTCAACAGCAATTAAAACTCTAGACGTATATATCTGAGCATCACGGGGCGACACAATGTAAAAGTTAACGGACGACGACGGACAACGACGGACGCCAAGTGATGAGAAAAGTTCACTTGACCCTTAAGGGCCAGGTGAGCTAAAAAGGGCCGATTTTACAGTTTTCGGACAATATTTTTAAAGTGCTTTGAGGAGTTTTCATGAAACTTTGGTGACTGCTTTATATAGATTAAGGTTACCTCCCTTTTAGTTTTTTTTATAAATTTTTGATATGACATTGAGAAATTATTTATAGGTTTCATAACGAGTGATAATGGATATGGCAAGATATCAACTCGAGTTATTTTTTAAAAATTTCAATATAATATTAAACGATGCTCCGGCGAGTTTGATATCAAGCGTATCATGCGCCCATGGCGCAGTGTTTATTAAAAAAAGGAGTAAGAAACCTACTGGACAGCAGTGAAGAATCAGAAAAATGCATTTGTTTTTGTTAGATGTATTTCTATTTGTATCCATCTGATGAGTTAAGCCTTTTTCAACTGATTTTTATAGTTCGTTCTTATGTTGTACTGTTACACCACTGTCCCAGGTTAGGGGAGGGTTGGGATCCCGCTAACATGTTTAACCCCGCCACATTCTGTATGTATGTGCCTGTCCCAAGTCAGGAGCCTGTTATTCAGTGGTTGTCGTTTGTGATGTGTACATATTTGTTTTTCGTTTATTTTTTTACATAAATTAGGCCGTTAGCTTTCTCGTTTGAATTGTTTAACATTTGTCATTTCGAGGCCTTTTATAGCTGACTATGCGGTATGGGCTTTGCTCATTGTTGAAGGCCGTACGGTGAGCTATAGTTGTTAAATTTTGTGTCATTTGGTCTCTTGTGGAGAGTTGTCTCATTATCTTCTTTTTTTATATGTAATAAAAAATATTCTACTAAAAGACACTTTATACGACCAGTTTTTATTCCCATTGACAATAACATCTGAATTAAATTTCATATATAGTTAACAATGAAATGAATAATTCATCAGCTTAATTCACTCTTTGTACGTACGTCTCAATCCAAATTGTCTATGCTTACATTAGATTGTTGACATCATGAATATATACTGTACATGTAATTTATTAGATGTGACAAACAACAATATATACAGATGGCTGATACTTGTTTATAAAGTCTAAATGTTAGTACACCTTTATTAAACTGATGAATGCGTTGGTTTCGTGCCTTAAAAAGTACATAATTTGATCCCTTATTTATTGTTTTTAAACGTAAATACACTGACACACAACATTCTAAGCTATATTAAATTTGTATAATCACTCGATAAAACACGGACGCACTCGAAAAAGCCCGGACTGCTCTCGAAAAAACCCGAACACATAGAAATGAATTTAGTCTCAAAATATCGTTTTTCAATGCAACAACAAGAATTTTTGTAAAGTGTCTGTATATCTAAGGATATATGGATTCCATGTATGCATTTCCATCGACGTTTGCATTGGTATGTGTATAAAAATGTCTTTATTCTGTTTTTTGGAATAAAAGCATTGTAAGGCTAAATTCAACTTTTTGAACGAAAAATAATGTCGGATTGATAATATCTTTTCATCTCAAATACTAACACACCTTGTATATCCTTTTATATTAAACTCAAGCTTCTATATCACGTCTTTTCAGAAAGTAATTCTGTTTGTTTACATTTTTTATCATTTTCACTCGAAAAAAAGTGGTCACACTCGAAAAAACCCGATCAAATCACTCGAAAAACCACGATCCTAGCCGGACACTATACCTACTGTGAATGTTATTTGGTTAACGCCTTTTAACACCCTAATAAAATTACAAAAAGGAGCACTCTATTCTTAAACAACGACAGTGTTCTTTGTTAAGCTTTATTTGCAAAAGAACATACCACACATTGCTGTACGCTGTGGGACCTTATCGTTCATTTTTATGACAGAAATAAAAACTACCATAATCAAATGTTTGTATACGAAAAACGAAATACAAAGGGATAATTAATTCACAATCTTTCCGCTTGTCAGATTCATTCAAATATTCTATCTTTGATTCAGAACAGTTATTTTTGGCATTTTATTCATAAAACTGCTAGAATTTGTACATAAAAATGTATATGTAAATGACATGTTGACTTCTTTGTTTTAATTAGTACATGTACAATTACAAATTTCGTGTCGATATCAAGTCGTGTGGGATGTGATTTGGGAATTTGACTCTTTCGTCATTCTAAAAAATGTCTTGCAAACAGTTGAAGGGCAATATTTTAGACTAAAAGGTCATAAAACTTTCGAGTACTCAGACTCAGAAATCAACCAATGAAAATATTGGATTTGTTTCGAGCACAAATTTTGTACTCCGAGTAGTGAGTTACGTGATATGACTGAAAGGCAAGGGATACGGCGCTCTAGAGTCCAGACATATCCATCATACATCACTCAACCGAGGAAAACTATTTTGCTAGCTTTTAAAATTTCTTACATGCCAGTTTCCGTCTTTTCCGGACACCGCGGAGTACTCGTATTTACATGGTAAATTGACTCTGAAACATTGTTTCACAATCAACAATTATTGTTCTAGAATTTATAGCGCCCACCATGTTTATGACCTGGGAGTCTTTTTTTTTTTTATTTTAAAGATTAAATAGTGACCTCTAAATAATCCCATTTATTGTTCGTGTGCTGTATATTTTGTCCAATAGAAACTCGTATCAATTACTACTTGGTCATGACTTTCTCGAAAGGGCATGATTGTTTGATAAGTTCTGTGTTAGGGTTAAACTCAGCCTCAACTGACGTCATCACCAGATTGCCATCGTTTTCATGTGAATCCACCACAACAGACCATTAACATGTGTTGTACGTTCTTTTACCAATAAAAATTTTACAAATGCTTTCCATTCATTTGCGTTGACCAGTGGGTAATAATACGGATGTTTCAGTCGAATGAGACTACTTTTACATTAATAATATATATTTATCCGGATTTTTAATCGGAATTTGTAAAGCCAAAAAAAGTGTTGTTTTTTTTTTTCTTTTTTGACAATGGTTTTGTTTTCTTTACTCCCGTTCCCTTAATGATTTATTTTCTTTTTGTTTGTTTTTTTTTTCTGTTTTGCCCTCAATATATATAGGTGTGCGTTTGTTTATTGTTTGTATCAGTAGCTGACTGGTTGCTTTTGATCATTTTATTTTGTCTTTTTATTTCAAACTTTTATTACTTAATTTTGGTTTGTTACATTCTACCCGTTATAGAAAGAAGATGTATGGGGTCATTGACACCTACCCCGAGTATTGTTTTTATATTTGACCAGCAGTACTTTAACCTCTTCACTCTATCGCACTGGCCAATGCCTAGTAGAAACAAATGACTTAATATCCAATGAAAGATTTTTTCATTTCCAATTAAATTACCGAAAATTTGAATATGTATTTGGTAGAGATTATTTCCTTCTTTTCAAATTACCAAGCCTATTCGAAACAAATCATGATTCCCCTTACTACCGATTGTTTTATCATAACATGAAATCATTAAGTCGATTCTAAAAACAAGAAAGCAAGAAAAAGGAAATTTAGTTCCATTGTTCATTCATATGTAAAATACCAATTAATGTCTTAGACTGTCTTACAAATTAAATATGACCAGTAATATAATAGAAACATTCCTATATATATATTCGTATAAGTAAATATTCATGATACATTCCAATGTATTTCTATATATTTTATTGGAAAAATAATCCCAAATTTCATTAAAGCTATGTCACGATTTAATAACAGTACTCTCCTTTTCAGGATTTACAGTTTGTATTTCATTTTTGTGTTGTTTCGAGTTTTAAATGCGTTATTTATTATTTCTTTCTGTCCAAGATTTATAAATTTTAAGCTTTTTGAGCTTAGCAAAATTAAAAAAAATATTAACTACATAGATTTTAACTACGCCAATCACAGCATTAACACATGATCGTTATTAAACATGTTAAACCTCCTAGTCAGGAATACGTCGCACGATAGTGGAAAACAAGAAAAAACATGCTTTACCTTGTCAAAATCATCTTCCTCTAGATCATTCTATTCCTGTATGAATTATGTTAAACAATTTTACATTTTTTAGCAAGAAACTCACCGTAACCAAGTAAACAAGAAGAAATTAATATAAGACTAGATCCCATCACTAGTTATGTTGATTTCCTAGTACTACGAGATCAAAACTTTCATTTGAGAAACAAAGCAAACGGGACGGAACTAAAAGCTAAAACAATAAATGGCCATTTTATTGGTAGACGTTTATTAAATAGCCCAATCAATCAACTTGTCGCTTAAGACTGTGTTATTTTCGTACTATTCGGACAGATTAATGCCCTCGTAACAACCAATACATGATATTATTAATTTGGTAGAACGGTTTTTTACAAGATCCATGTATTTTTAATGCATTACATATATGTGACAAATAACCAGTACTGACACGTACATGCGCTGTAAATAATCACTAAATACAATAATAATTTACTGACAAGTACTCTTTATGAGATTTGCACAATTTTGAATGGTTTACCTTCCATTTAACGATTATGTACGAAGTTTAAATAATTGAATAACTTTTTTTTCTGTTTAAAAAAAGACAACCTTACAGAATAATAAAATGCTGTAATAGGGAAGACGTAAAGGACCTCACAAATACATTAATCGATTTCGAAATCACGAAATTAAGAAATCGTGATCTCTGATTAAAATCTTTATAACGAATTTCGGGTCTACGTTACCATAGATGTGTATGACTTGTGATAAGGGGATTTAATTCGTTATAAGTGTTTGCTATTATTCGTGAAAAAGGCTTAAATTCGTTTTCACGAATTTGAGAAATCGAACTGAAACAGCGTAATTTCACTTCTACCGGTTTTTTTTTATATAAATTATCGTCATTCTACTAAAACTAAAAGGCTCCAATGCCCTCTGACATAGTTGACCCGAGACTGATTTGGTGTACTGTTTAGGCCTATTTGACTTTGACGGAATACTTCAAAAAGTATATCCGATGAAGGCTATACACGGAACATGCGTCATGTGACTTCAATTTGTGTTTTAGTACAAAAGCAATGCAACACAATAGTTAATAATCTGTTATAAACTGTTGTCTAACACACATGTTGAATAAAAAAGTGCTAATTCAATAGTGAGGGTTTTGTTAAAGTCTGTTTTGTAAAATTTGATCAACCAACTATTGGACATAGGTCCATGTAACACTTAACAATTCAAAATTCCAAAAACAAATTCAATTTTTTGAAATTTTGAAAATTTCAACCAATAATTAGAATTTTAACATTCTAAAATTCGTTTTAAAATTTTATAGTTTTGACATTTAATCAAACTTTAAAAAATACTAAACTTAACGTGCAGGTTTGATCATTTCGCTTTTTAAAAGTTTGAAAATTTTGATTTTTGGTTAAAATTTAAGAAAGGACTAAATAAGTAGGTACCTGTAAAGTGCGAAACGGAATAAAAACAGAACGAAACGAAACGAAACGAATATTTTTTTGAAAATCTAGATATAAAATGATACAAGAGGCTGAGTTGTTTGGTCTACAGGGAGACAATGAGAAATATGTTTCTTTAAATCGGAAAACTAATTAGTAAGACCTAATTTTGACGGATATCTTTGAGGTGCGAGACGTAATAAAACGGAACGAAACGAAACGAAAAAAAAAAACAAAACGAAATTTGCAAAAAACGAAATGAACATTTAATTAAAAGTTAATATAGACAATGGAACAAGAGGCAGACGGATGTAAGCGGAAAAAAATTGAATAAAAAGATTAATATTTCTAAAAAGCGGAGAATTAATTTTGAAATTAGAAAACACTTTTATTATGATCATTAATAAGTAGGAATAAGAAGAACAAAACGAATATGATAAATTTTAACTGCAAAATAATAATTTTGAATAGAGGTTTTATTTCTTTGAACAAATCGGATATCACATGAGATAGCATTTAGGAAAAAGGCAAAAGAATTAGCTAAGGCAGCTAGTCGTTCTCTGGCGGAAGTAGTATCAATAGGAAGATTGAATAAAAAATTGAGTACACTTAACTTCATACAGCTGCGGTCGAATCGATATTACGGTAGTAGCATTAGGAGCACTAAGGCACAGTGTAGATACTATTCTGTACGCTATCTGGAAGTCGCGATTTTCGAAGCGATGATTTCCAACTGGCTAACAGGACGGTTTTGCCTACGGTGACTTTTCTCATCATTTGTTTACTCCTATATCTATAAAGTGCTTTGAACATCTTCAAGGTATGTATAGCATCATAAATATGAGTAACTGTAACAAAAACATGCATAAGAATATAAAATATACGTGTGCATCACACCAACTTGATAGAAAAAAGTGAAATCGATGGACAATTTTGCTCTCGTAGTACAAAGCAAATAATCTTTTAATGCAAATATTTGCATCAGTTTACAGTTAAATATATACTGTTTCAATATTCTTTTCGTATTTAAGTAGAATATTCGTATTTCCCATAAAAAAAATATGTTTTCCTTGAGGATCCCAAAATAAATTACTTTACGATCAGTCTAAAACTGACTGTATTCTAGAAGCGATTTCAGATTTTTTGACTGTATGACCAGTCGTGATTTTGAAAAAGAAACAACGGCAATTTGAAGGTATATACGTGTCTATGTGATATTATGAACTGTCCAGGCAACTATAACGTGTAATTTCTTTCATCAGACAATACAAATATATTTCTGATGATTTTTGTAGACGGCATTTGTATGGGAACATATATTTGGAATCCCTTTTCTCCTGGATTGGACCCCCTCTCCATTTAAAAATGGCTGGAACCCACAATGTATATTAAGTGGTTTATGAGGAGATGCACTTACAAAACCGACGAAACAAATTGTACCGGTCCAACGGAAAGACGGACTTTATTATCACTATAAACCCCCGCTTTACAAAGTGGTGTACAATTGAGTGTCAAAGAGACAGCTCTACATCCAAAACAAAGTGAAGGAACTGTGATCAATTATAGGCTACAGTACGGCCTCGAATGTGTGTAAATACATGCATTTTTATATAACAATTAAATCTGTGTGTTTGTACAATTTTAAGTATAACGGAGGACATTTCTGAAACTTATATATACAACAAACCTTCCTCTTATTTTAGCAACATTTAAACATCCTTATACTTAATGTAGTAAGTCGAGTACACCCCATCAAGCTAAAACATGTTTCATAAGTTTTCAGGATGTGAATTTATTGAAATATATTTGTGTTATTTAGAAAAATGCCACCTTCTAATGTATCGTAAATAACTTTGAAATCACCACTAGAATACAGTGAAATAAAGACTGATCACACAGTTTCAAATTATACAAGCGAGACTGATCGTACAGTGAGAAATTCAAACAAGTGTAATTTTCTTATTTCTGGCTTCAAAGATCTGGTTGAAACTTTTACCACCACTTGAAATATAATTCATTTTGTTAATTACGTCTGGTTTTTACGTTAATTTGTACACTAAGAGGGTAAAAAGATTGTTTTTAGGTTCACCGACTGATTTTCCTTAGTGGTGCACTTGAAAATCTCTTGATTAAGGCAAAGATACGAATACTGAATGTGCTGAATTTAATTCTAAACCATTTGAGAATATCGATGTCAGCTGAATTAATCATTAAGCAATGTACAGATGATCAACTTACCGTTTAATTCAGTATATCCATCAAATTTAAAATGTGATCCAAAAAGTTCTTGCTTCGAAAATCGCGACTTCCGGATAGCGTACAGAATAGTATCTACACTGTGTAAGGCGTTTAGTGCCATTTCAGCTGTAAAAAATAGAGCCTGTAAATATTTTTTTATCCATTTAAAACTGACTTCGAATGTAGCTACTCGTGTTGATATGGATTGGACATCCTGTCATACAAAACAACGAATAACGCACGTTATTGTGTCAATACCGTGAAATCAACAAGACCACAATGATAAACAGCTTTTTTTTATACATGTATAATCAAAACCGTTAAGCTATTATATATAATTCATATCCATAGACTAGACAGGTATTACTGTTTCCAAAAAATCGATAATTTTTTTTGGAACTTTTTACCATACCGGTAGTTTAAAATAAGGACAAAAATATTGGTAAAACGTCAAAAATATCCGTGTCAGACGTCACAGATTATACGCATAATAACTTTTACAGGGATGTTTGTGCTCTTCGAAACAATGTAAAATCCGTGAAAATTTGCATGAATGATATGCGTCATATATATTAAAGTATTATGTCATTACTGACTTTGCGTTGATGCAACGGCCAAAGCTGATCTTCACAATGGTCAGATTTAAGAAAAAGGTAATTTATCAAAATGTATTGGTTTTTTTAATTAGAAGATGATATGAAAATTCGTTTTCTTAAATTATGCTTACAATAGTACATATTTCAAAAAAATAAAAGAACATTTCAAAACCGAATTTTTACAGAACTCACACCACAAATAAAAACGCAACGGCTTTTAGCAAAATGTCTTGCAAGAATGTCCAATGTCGTATTTCGCCGCTTTTTACAAATGAACTGTCAGTTGCGACGTCATTTTATTAAAAAGTTCGATTTGCTCCATACAAAATAGTGCTTTTCTGTAATTGTACTTTAACCCTACAAAACAATTACATACTTTTTGATAATTTGCGTGGTCAAAAGTACTTTGTTCTATAACAAATTCAATGTCTTGCAAGTTTGTCAATTCAGCGATTTTCTAACGTTTTGAACGATGTCGATTCGAGACGCTATTTATGCCTTTTAAAAATTAAACCGAAATGTTTGTTTGTTATGTGTTTTTGTGTTAAACGCCACTTTTAGCGACCTTGGTTGTATCGTATTGGAAAGTTTTCTTTGGTAGAGGAAGTTGGAGAACCTTGGTTGTATCGTATTGGAAAGTTTTCTTTGGTGGCGGAAGTCGGAGAACCTTGATTGTGTCATATCGGACAGGCTCCTTTGGTGACGGAAGTTGGAGAACCTTGGTTGTATCGTATTGGAAAGTTTTCTTTGGTGGCGGAAGTCGGAGAACCTTGATTGTGTCATATCGGACAGGCTCCTTTGGTGACGGAAGTCGGAGAACCTTGATTGTATCGTATTGGAAAGTTTTTTTTTGGTGGCGGAAGTCGGAGAACCTTGGTTGTATCGTATTGAAAAGTTTTCTTTGGTGGCGGAAGTCGGA